GCGCAGATTAATACTACTATTAATACTAATACTAATACTAATACTAATACTAATACGAATACTAATACTAATACTAAGACTAATACTAATACGGATACTAAGACTAATACGATTACTAATCGTAGTACTAATAGGAGTACTAATACTAGTACTAATACTATTACTAGTACTAATACTAGTACTAATACTAATACTAATACTAATACTAATACTAATACTAATACTAATACTAATACTAATACTAATACTAATACTAATACTAATACTAATACTTATACTAATACTAATACTAATACTAATACGAATACGAATACGCATACGCATACGAATACGAATACTAATACTTGTAATAATACTAATATTAATACTACTATTAATACTAATATTAATACTAATACAAATACTAATACTAATACTAATACTAATACTAATACTAATACTAATACTAATACTAATACTAATACTAATACTAATACTAATACTAATACTAATACTAATACTAATACTAATACTAATACTAATACTAATACTAATACTAATACTAATACTAATCTTAATACTAATGCTAGTACTAATGCTAATACTAATACTAATACTAATACTAATACTAATACTAATACTAATACTAATACTAATACTAATACTAATACTAATACTAATACTAATACTAATACTAATACTAATACTAATACTAATACTAATACTAATACTAATACTAATACTAATACTAATACTAATACTAATTAATACTACTACTACTAATCAGTGTTCTAAATATCGGCTGTGGCGGACGATATATTGGCCGCCATATTGGTGGCGGGCATAAACCTTTATGATATATGTGTGGCGGTTTTGAAAATCGGTTTTTTGACGGTGAGGCGGTCCGAGGCGGTCTGTGGCGGGTCAAACCGATATATTGGGTCAAACTTCGAACGATATATCGAAAAAATGTTTTTTTTTCTAATTTATTTATTTATTTTTTTATTACAAGGAAAATAGGGTGTTTATTTATTTTATTTTTTTTCAATTCCAACCCATTATCTCTTTCAATCAAACTCAAATTCACTAACCGCGTAAGAAGAACATGGCCTAAAAAAAACATTTAGACCGATGAGGAGAGAATCAAGTTCAAAATGTTAAACTTTTGTTATGTGATTAGAATATATAACCGATGAGGAGAGAATCGAGATCAATTTTTTTTTATATGTTTTAAGTATTTAGAAATATATTACACTAAATTTAAAAATCGATTTATTTCCGATATATCTCCTATTAATCACCGCTGCACCGATTTATCGTGTGGGGGTACCTAACCGCCTCGGACCCGATAACCGATATTTAGAACCTTGGAAAATACCTAACATCCATTTTTTTTTCGGGCGACGGGTTGTCGTGGCTCTGATTAGTTGACGAATCACTAGTTGAATTCAGCATTGGTTGACACTAGTTTTTCTTTTCCCAACCCTTTTTTTTCTCGGCGATGGGTTGTCTGGAGCTTCAATTTTCTGACTCCGCATTAGTTGACTTCTAATTAGCTGACTTCAACAATAGCTAACAACCAACTATTATTTTGAACATTTTTTTTCGCTGGTGGGTTATCGGAGATCCGATTTAGTTAACTAATGCTAAAGTGAACTAATGCTTAGCCACACATATGGTTGTCACACATGATTAGCCTATGTGGTTCACGTCTCTTATATGATTTGCAAGCTTTTATACGAGAGGCAGGTTTATCTAGTGCACCTATATGCTTGGATGTGGGTTCCTATCACCAAAAAATAAAAATAAAAAAAATAAAACTAATGCTTAGCCAGCTAATTGAAGCTACGGCGATCCACCGCCAAAGTTAATGCGTAGTCAGCTATTCGATCAAAGCTACGACTACACTCGCATTGAAGGAGAAGTTTTGGTCGGAAATAGTCAATTTCATGATCGGTGCTGCAAATAATAGAGTTTGGGGGTATCGTGCAACTTTTTTTTTAGTCAAGGGGTACTGTGCGAAACACACCAAAGTTTGGGGGCAAAATGCCATTAATCCTTTTTAAATATTTTGTTAGGTACTAACAATATTAAATAATAATATATCCCCCTATTTATATATCTCGTACAATATTAGCTCTCTTTTTTTATTCAAATGTATCATATCAATTCCCAATATATCAATATCTCTTTAATTGGTCATGTAGTCGGTGGTCCAGCAGTTGGAGCAAGAGAACAAGTCTAAATTAACCCAAGTTCAAATTTCTTGCCAACAGTTTCAAGGTGGATATAAAATAAAATAAAACAACTAATTAAAACAAGGGATATGTGGCAACTAAATCAACTGAATATTATATGTAAGGTAAGTCAACTTAAAGAATAAATGCTACATTATGAAAATCCCCTTGAACTTAGGCTAAATTACGAAAACACCTAATCTATCCGTAATAGTACAAAAGAGTTGTGAATGTGTTACTAAGAAGAATAAAAATTCCATGTAAAGGCCCTCTAAGGATAATTTTTGTTTTAAAAAAGTAGCATAAAGAAATGTCACGTCTACATGGATAGAATCGGCATTTTTTTGGGAATAATCCCTCGACTCAAAACGATCCCATGAAAAATCTCACCATAAGGGGTGGGTGTAAGACGAAAACAAACGTCGGGAAATTTTGGTAATTACAGATAGGTGGGGATGTTTTTCATAATTCAGGCTCAGTTCAGGGGGCTTTTAGTAATTTACCCAATAAAGAAACATAAACACCACAAAACTAAGATGATAAGGCTCAACGTAACTTAAATAAAATATAGGGGCTCTTTGAGAAAACCCCCTCACTAATTTTTTTTAATGGATGGAGGCCCAAAATATTTTATTCTGATGGAGAAAAGGAGGAAAACACAGGTGTTTCATTATCACCAAGATCTGATAGCGACGTCCCTCCCACTCGCAGAGTAGTTACAAATCCGAAGAGCTTGTATTTTCGACACCCTACCGATAGAATTACCAGATCTCTGGCAAGGTTACCAAACTTATCACGAAAGTTAATTATTTCATGTCTAATATGGAACGCACGAGGGGTCAGTCAGCACACCACTGTGACGCACATAAAAAATATTGGACAACAACAACGATCTGCTATATTGGTCATTCTTGAGCCCAAGCTCCCGTCAAAAAGACTTCATGCCTTGGCACTCAGATTAGGTCTTTCGTCTTCACTGCATGGGGAAGAGATGAAAAAATTTATATGGATCCTTTGGAAAACCGAAGTTACTATTAAGCCACTAAATATCCTTTCTCAGGCTATCACGGTATCAATCGATATTCCACGGCAACCCCTTCTCACGACAACTTTCGTCTATGCCAGTTGCTCGCTCAGCACACGTCGAGATCTTTGGGCACATATATCAGATATAAACGAGGTGATTACGGGACCTTGTTTTTTTTTTTTCTGGGAGGGGGGGGGGTGGGGGGGGGTGGGGGTGAATTTTAATGCAATTCTCGATATCTCAGAGAAAAAAGGGGATTGGTTAATACCGCTAAACTCCATGATTTTCAAAATTGTGTTGCCCAGAATGGATTGTTGGATGCGGGATATATTGGTAATCCATTTACATGGAGAAACAACAGGACAGGTTTGGACAGAGTTTGGCAGCATTTGGCCAGAATTTTGGTCAACACCAAGTTTCATAACATTTTTCCGGCATTGAAAGTGCATCATTTAGCTCGAGTTGCATCAGATCATGCTCCGTTGAGCGTCGCATTTGAGCAAGACCAACGACCGGGACGTGGGCGTTTTATTCTGCAGCGCATGTGGGCAAAGCATCCTTCCTTCCTTGAAGTGGTGAGAAAGGCGTGGGATACGCCTGCTTCCGGGTCTGCCTCTAACGTTTTTCACAAAAAACTTATGAATGTTCGGAAGACGTTAAAGAATTGGAACTGGGACACATTTGGAGATATACAACGAAAAATCAAAGAGAGTAAAGAAAAAATTCAGGTGCTTGAAAATATTTTAGTGCAAGGTTGGAGCGACGGTACGCAGAAGCAGCTTGTTGAGCTGAAACAAGACTTGTTGAAGCTAGAACAATGGGAGGCGGAGCTGCTCAACAATAAGGCGCGCATTGCTTGGGAGAAGGATGGGGATCGTAATACTGCTTTCTTCCATGATAGTTTAAAAGATCAGCGGAAAAAATCATTGATCCAGGTGGCTCGACACAATGGGACGATTACCACAAGTCAGCAAGAAATTGGACTTATCGGCGAAAGCTTCTTTTCGGACCTTTTCAAGGCTTCAGAGTATTACCTACATGATGAGCTATTTCAGAATACACCCCAGATAATTACGGATGGAATAAATGGGGATTTTTGCAAAATACCAGAAGAGGGGGGGATTCTTGAAACAATTAAGACGATGAACCCGGCAAGCTCGCCAGGTAACGACGGATTTACGGGACATTTTTACACGATCTGCTGGGACATAATTAAACGTGAGTTAATTCACATAGTTGGGGACTTCTTTCGCGGGAGCTATTTATCTAAGGACATGAATCGGACGACGTTGGTTCTTATTCCAAAAACGGAGAATGCCCGAAATATTGCAGCATACCAACCCATCAGCTTGGGGAATTTTTCAGGCAAAATTATATCAAAAATCCTTGCTAGGCATCTTGGACATATTCTCCCTCTCATTATCTCGGACGAACAGGCGGGTTTCGTGTAAGGGAGACAGATGGCGGCTCATATTGTCATGGCGCAAGAATTGGTTCGAGATATCAATAGGAAAAGTAAAGGGGGTAACATGGTTTTCAAGCTCGACATGGCGAAAACATACGATCGGTTAGAATGGCGTTTCCTTCTTCGCGCAATGCGAGCGTTCGGCTTCTCTCATGCTGCATGCGATCTCATCTATCGCAATATTTCGAATATATGGTACTTGTTCAGTATAAATGGCAAAATCGTGGGGAATTTTGAATCCTCTCGTGGGGTTCGACAAGGTGATCTGCTATCCCCGCTCCTCTGCATTTTGGCTCAACAAATATTGACACAAAATATTACAAAAAATATTGCAGCAAAGCACATTCGACCCTACAAAGTGGGGAGGGACGAGATTTCTATATCTCACCTGCTGTAGGCGGATGACATCCTAGTGTTCACTAATGGTGGACGAGAATCTTTAATGAACCTTATGGACACTATTCACTCATATGAAAGATCTTCCGGGAAACGAGTCAATGCGGGTAAGAGTCATTACTATGTGGGTAAATGGGGCGAGGGTGTTGCTCATTCCATTGAGCGAATTACGGGTTTTCGGCGGAAAGAGTTCCCATTTAGATATCTTGGAGTTCCTATCTTTTTTGGCAGATCGAAAGCTGAATATTATGAAATGGTGCAGCAGGTTCGGGGAAAGCTTACGGGGTGGAAGGAGAATTTTTTGTCTTTTGCCGGAAAAATCACGTTAATAAAATCGGTGTTTGCAAGCATTCCGGTTTATACGATGGCATGCACAAAAGTCCCTGTTTCGGTTTTAAAGAATATAGAACAAATCATGACTATGTTTCTCTGGAGGTCGGGTAATGACGCGCGAACACACTGTGTTCGATGGGAGACCGTTTGTACCCCGATTGAGGAAGGAGGAATGGGCATTCGGCTATTAAAAGATGTAATGGACTGCATGCATGGGAAACTATGGTCGTTGGTCAACCAAGGGCAGACTCTATGGGCCCGACTAGCGAAAGCCAAATATTGCGATAAACGGAATAATATTAATCGGCAAACGGCATCCCCTCTTTGGATTGCAATACACAAGCATGTAGATAGTATGAAGGAGTGCACTAGATGGCTCATAGGGCGAGGAGGTATAAGTTTTTTGATGGAAAACTGGATTGGCGAGGCGCTAATCGGGCCTCTCCCGTGCGACCGTCAGCTTACAGTGGCCGAAGCACTCTCTCAAATAGCGAATTATTTACCGCTCATTCACACAGATTGGCATGAGAAAATTGTCCGTGTTAAGTTGGATGAGCAACATGTTGGGGATCGTGCATGTATACGCAGCGGAATTTAAAATTTTTATATCGAACTAGTTTCGATTACATGCATAAACTAATCACATAGTCAACGTACCTTAACGCTTCCGCCATACATATGGTAATTATCGATTTAATTGAAAAACGCGTAAAACCGAAAATTACGAAACATGCTTATTCTTCATTTCACAAAATCGAAACATGTAATCACGTATTACTCATGCTCGCAAATTAATAATCATACAAACATGTTCAAATCGAATTACGAAAGTTCCGATTTAATTACCTCTTGTAGCGTGCGATTTCGACGAATCGAAATCCTAGATCGAGTCACGTACAAGCTGCTAATTACCAATCCACGGGGCTGCAACTCACGGCTGGACCAAGCTGATCCAGCAAGCGACGAACGGCAGTGAACGGCGGCAGCAGCGGCGGCGCGTGGCAGCGGCAGCGGCGGCGCGTGAGCGGCGTATCGGCGCGTGCGGCGGTGCGTGGATTCGTCGGGGCAGCAGCTCCTCTCCAATTAGGTTTCACCTCGTATTTTCGACCCACTCGAACTACAGCACTAGATGTAAACGAGTTAGATAACAACAAGAATAAAATGAAGGAAACGAGAGAAGAAAAACCGGCGGTTTTCCGGCGGTGGTCGGCGGTGGCGCGCCGGTGGAGCAACGGCCGAAGAGGGGAGCGGCTAGGGCTTGAGCGGCTAGGGTTTGGTGCTGAAAATCTGATCTCAAACTCTTGTTTGAGGTCTATTTATACTTAGGGTTTTCAACCCTAGTGGGCTTAAGTCATTGGGCTTGACCACTGATGCATTAAGCCCATTCCCTCGTCGGCCTCGTTTCTAATAAACGATCGTCCACAAAATTATAACAAAATTATATTTGTGACGAGCTTAAAGTCCTCGTCGATACGAGTGCCTCTTCGAAATTTCCAATTTCCAAAATTGGAAACTTCCACTTCAGTGGACTTGCTAAATCGGGAAACTTCCCAATTTAGAAATTCACTAAATTCCGCATTTCTCTCTTTCTCTACGTTTATTCCGATTCGCAATCCACAATCACGAATCTTGGATTCAATCATATCGACATCCAATTGTTCAAAGATTAACACATTAATCTATGCTTGTTGTTATCAAGGATCTATATTACACGAGAAGTGTGACCCTCAATGGTTCAGGTGTATGCTAGCCGTGGGCTCACAACTCTTTGTGATTGGAACAACACATTGTTCTTATACGAACTCCTCCCAAGAGTCCCGATTAGAGTAAAACTCATTTTACCTAATCCCGATCAAATCGGTGCCCAACGAATCAAGATTGGCGTCTAGCAACTACGCATCATGATTCCCTAGATACAAATGAAGTGCCTGCAAGAACCTTATGATATAGTTAGCGTACAGTACGATCCCTTCGTAGCACATGTCCCGACTGAACTAGAGGCATTGGTTCACCGAGACCTCTTATAAAGTTCAATAACCGTGCGAACGTTCTAGGTATTATAAATCCGTTCGTGTGCGACTTAGGGAAACACATTTCCCTAATCACCCCACTATCAACTCTGGCCAGAGATTCCATGGATTATAAACCGTCAGAACACACAGGACATCCATGACTACTCAAGCGCTCGAATCCCCTACTACAATGCACAGACTTCACACTAGATTTCGGATTGCACGAACGTTGGCCCTTGGAGCGGTCCGCGGTGGGACTCAGGGACAGGTCACGATACAATCGGTCCTCTAGTGAAGTCACGGTGATGTCTGGGTCTTAAGGACTAATGGTGTACAACTATATCTTAGAAACCTATTACTCGATGAATGAGAACCACTTATAGATTTCTAGGGCGAGGGAGTTCAGTGAACTCATCCAGTATGAGCACCCACTCAAGTATGCCGATGTCACAACACCGAGGACTGATGAGACGCAGTACACATACACTAAGTGCTAGTCTCAAAAGGGAAAGGCCGGTATCCTCATTATTGGCGTAACCCATCGACTAGGAACAAGGTTTAACAGTTACATTACATTGCTGAGTTATCTCACGATTCTACTAGATCAACTCACAGTAATAGAGTAACTCGTTAGGACTATATCTATGCTGCTTGCATGGGATAACAGATATAGAATGCCAAATAAGATATTTTATTATTACGAACGAAAAACGATTGTTTTATTACAAAGAAAAGAGAAAGACCACAGCCACAAGTTGGCTTGCCGGTCACCTACTCTAACAATCTCCCAGTTGACCTAAAGCCAACTACTCATAAATCTAAGTCCCATCGACTCTCGATGTTTCTCGTGGACTGATCCTGACAATGGCTTGGTGAAGGGATCTGCAATATTTTCCTCCGAGGTGACTCTGTCTAGCTTGACTTCACCTCTCTCTATGATCTCTCGGATCACATGGTATTTTCTCAACACGTGCTTCGACTTCTGATGAGCTCTCGATTCCTTAGCTTGCGCTACGGCTCCGTTGTTATCGCAGTACAGCCGTACTGGATCGCTAGCGTTTGGAAATACACCCAACTCTTGGATGAATTTCCTAATCCATGACCCTTCATTTGAAGCATCTGATGCTGCAATATATTCAGCCTCGGTGGTGGAATCAGCCGTCGTGCCTTGTTTGGAACTCTTCCAACACACGGCACCCCCGTTGACTTTGAATATATACCCCGAGTTTGACTTCGAGTCATCCACGTCCGATTGAAAACTAGAATCCGTGAAGCCTTCTATTTTCAACTCGGTATCCCCATAGACCGAAAACAAATCTCGAGTTCTTCGCAAGTACTTGAGAATGTCCTTCACAGCCTTCCAATGGGCTGGGCCGGGGTCGGACTGATATCTGCTTGTGACGCTCACAGCATACGCAATATCAGGTCGTGTACACAGCATGCCATACATTATGCTTCCTATAGCGGATGCATAAGGTGTCCTTTTCATCTCCTCGATTTCCATTTGCGTTTGAGGACGCATGGATTTCGAGAGACGAACCCCATGGGACATTGGCAAGAATCCCTTCTTGGATTCTTCCATGCTAAACCGTTTAAGAACGGTGTCTATGTACATGGATTGGGACAAGCCAAGCAATCTCCTCGATCTATCTCTATAGATCCGTATTCCTAATACGTAGGATGCTTCTCCCAAATCCTTCATCGAGAACGTGTGGATAACCATACTTTAGTCGACTGCAACATCCCTACATCATTCCCAATGACTAGTATGTCATCAACATAAAGTACAAGGAAAGTCACTGCACTCCCACTAACCTTCTTGTAGACACAAGGTTCCTCCGGGTTTTTCACAAATTCAAACTCTTTGATAGTTGTGTCGAACCTTTTGTTCCAACTACGGGATGCTTGTTTCAATCCATAAATGGATCGCTGGAGTTTGCAAACCTTTTGCTCATCTCCAGAAGATATGAAGCCTTCCGGCTGCGCCATGTAAATTTCTTCCTCAATGTCCCCATTAAGGAAAGCGGTCTTCACATCCATTTGCCATATCTCGTAGTCATACCACGCAGAGATGGCCAGCAAAATCCTAATGGACTTAAGCATAGCAACTGGAGAGAAGGTTTCCTCATAGTCAACTCCTTGCTTTTGAGTATAACCCTTCGCTACCAATCTAGCCTTGTCGGTCGATACCTTTCCATCTACTCCAATTTTCTTCTTATAGATCCACTTGCAGCCTATGGGAACGATTCCCTCGGGTGGATCTACCAAGGTCCATACCTTGTTGGAGTACATAGAGTCCATTTCGGATTTCATGGCATTTAGCCAATGTCCATTGTCTGTATCCGATACAGCTTCGTTGAAAGTTCTAGGATCACATCCTTGGTCAACTTCATCAACGAGGAATAACCTATCGGGCGCTCTCCGAACTCTTTCGGATCTACGCAGCGACGGTTCAGGAGGTATATTAGTGGTTTGTTGAATTGGTTCATTATCTGATTGTTGTGCTTGAACTTCAGATTGTGGTTCTCGAACTTCTTCGAGATCAACTACACTGCCCTTTCTATCCGATAGAAATTCCTTCTCAAGGAACACGACATTTCTCGAGACGAACACCTTAGCCTCGGAAACATAGTAGAATTCGTATCCCATGGAATCCTCGGGATACCCCACAATATAGCATAGGTCGGATTTTCCATCCAACTTATCTCCCACTAGCCGCTTCACGTAAGCGGGACAACCCCATATCCTAATATGTTTAAACGTGGGTTTCTTGGAGTGCCAAAGTTCATAAGGTGTGGAGTTAACTGCTTTGGTATTAACCCTATTCAGCAAATACACGGCAGTTAGGAGTGCATGACCCCACAGGTATGCCGGTAGCTCGGTGAACCCCATCATAGATCGAACCATGTCTAACAGTGTTCGATTCCGACGTTCGGAAACTCCATTAAGTTGAGGAGTTCCAGGAGGAGTCCATTGAGACAGAATCCCATTCTCTTTAAGATAGTCTATAAACTCAGTACTTAAGTATTCGCCACCACGATCGGATCGTAGTTTCTTAAAACGTCTACCGAGTTGGTTTTCTACTTGGTGTCTAAAATCTTTGAACCTTTCAAAAGTTTCAGACTTATACTTCATTAAGTACACGAAACCATACCTAGAATAATCATCGGTAAAGGTAACGAAGTAGTTAAAACCACCCCTAGCACTAACGCTTAGTGGACCACACACGTCTGAATGGATCAAATCCAAAAGACCCTCGGCTCGTTCCATCTTCCCTTTGAAGGGAGTCTTGGTCATTTTTCCTTTAAGGCAGGATACACAAGTTTGAAGTGATTTAACGTCCTCCAAGGAGAACATTCCTTCACTAACAAACTTGTTCATCCTTCTCAAGGAAATGTGACCTAGTCGAGCGTGCCAAAGTTGTGCGGGGTTAAGACTTATATCTTTTCGTTTTGCTGATATAACGTTAATAGGTATTTCACTTGGATTCAGTTCATATAAGTTGTTTATAAGTTGTCCCTTACAAATCATATT